TCCTCCTCTAATCTGCCTCCTCTCTATGTGTGGGAAGAAGTGGTCCCCGGGGTCTGGGCTATAATTATATCCATACAAGAGCTACTTTGGAATTCAAAATTTTAAATGATAGTTCCCAAGGACAAATCCACCAGAGCACAAAGTATTCTAGTCAATGAGAAGCAGAACGAAGAAAACTGCAGAGTACTCCCAAGGCACGGCAGTCTATGGGGTGAGCAGTACACTCGGAGCTTGTTTGCTTTGTTTTTAAGAGATGGTGAAAGGATGTGTAGGGAGTGGTCACTAGCCTAGTGGTGAAGCTGATTAGGGCAACAGATTGTGCCGGACCAGGTACCGGCAAGCACACATAGACACAGGGCCTGGGATCACCTCAGATGAAGTTTCTTTGGAGATCCCACCAACCGAACTGCTGATCTCAGAACCCCAACCATGAAGAGACTATGTCAGTCAGTGGATTCTGAGTAGGTTTCATCATGCCTGGAATGGCAAGATTGGCAGCAATTCAGAACAGTTGAACTATCACAACTGCATGAGCAGGACCTTCGGAGCATGCCCCACATCGGGGACCTGGAATAGGTGCGAGGCTGGGTGGGGTCTCTTTCTTTGTTTCTCCCCTGATCCCAGATACGGGGTGGGGGGGGGTGGAAATGATATTAGTGTGGAGAAAAAAAAGAAGGCATTATCTTATCAACGTGCTATTGGTGGGTTTGGAACTCAAGATCAAAAACAATTTGTGTTTTACCCCACAAATGTTCTTACTTCTAGGATATCCTTTCAATTACTCAGCTCATCAGTCTCCTCATTTATTCTCCCGGTATAGCCGATATCCTCAACAGACTATTCTTAGTTCTCCAAGTAAACAATGTGATTCCAAGACCAAAAAAAAAAACACAAAAACAAACAAATAAACAAACAAAACCTGACAAATATTTTCTGTCCCAAACATAATACAAAACAGCATTGAATTTATAATGTCCCTCAGCATCATCCTAGATACGTTCAGGCTTACTTACTTTGTGGTGTTGGCAAGAATGGGAATGGGAAAAAATTCAAATTAACAAAGGTTTTTCCACACAAACTTTCTTAACAAGATGTTTTTTCATCAGGGTCCCTCAAGCTCTCTCTTCTCAGCCCCCTCTTCGTGTTTTTTTACATTTGTTTTCTCTGCTAATCAGTGTAACTTGGCTTGTCTTCCCCTCTCTTCTGACCCTATCTGTAGCCTCTAGTCTTTGAGTATTCAGCAACCAGAGAGGATGCCTCCCTCAGCCTCTTCAGCCCCAATGTATTCTGCCTCTGAGCAGTGATGATTTGTTACATATTTTGCACCTCATTATGCAGCATCTTGCACTATCAGTTGTCTAATTCATCTCTACTTGTTCCCTCTGTTTGTGCTATAGCTATACTGCCAACTACTTGCTGGAAACCTTCAGAACAATGACCCAGCACACCTTCATTTATCAATTTCTAAACAATTCATGATGTTTGGCACAATTGCCCCTCCTAACACACAAACCCTTTCTCCTTCTCTTTCCTCCCCTCCTCCTCCTCCTATCTTGTCTTTTAATAAAATCTAGCACATACGTCCATATTACCACCATGCTAAGCACTGTACAGACAGAAAGATACACAAAGTTCAATCAGTGTCTCCTGGGCTCCCTGTTACTTTTTCATAGCACCATTTTATCCCAATGGTTTCTTCCATCAAAGAACTGTGAGGATACACCAAGTCATACTTCCGTGCCTCAGCACGCTAGCTGCTATCAAGACACAGACTGATATCCTAATCACAGGAATTTAACCACCACAGAATGGCTGGGTGGGTTTCTCCGTCAGCTCTTAACAGCTCACCATCAAGGTGTACCACCTAGAGCTTAGAGTTATCCACACCTCTTCCTTTATGCTCACAACCAATGGTAACAAACGGTTTTCTTATTCTATTTCAACAATGTTTCCTGTATCTAACTGATTCTATTCTACCTCATTATCACCAGAGCAGTTCACACCACAATCCTAGAACTCAGCAGGTACTTCTACTGGTTTCCTTATGTCCTTGTTGGTTATTTCCTCCATGTCCCCGAAATCCAATCCCCACAGGAGCACTATAACTACATACTATCCCCTGCTAAAAAGTTTCCATTGACACCTTCTTTATGGAGCAGCAGCTCAAGGCCACCCCATTCTCCTCATGCACCAGATTCTCAGCTCAAATCACCTTACCATCCACTCCATGGTTTCCTACATCCATGCTTTAACTTTACATTAACTTCCTCTAACCTCTTCCACCAGTCCAAGCTTTTTCTATGCTTCAAAACTCAATTCAAATATTTTCCCCTTAGATTATTATGGACTGAAATGTTTGTTTGCGGACCTAACAGTATCTTACTCAGTGCATTTTATTCTGTTGCAGTTGGTTATGCCCAAACCCATCTTGACTAGTAGATTTGAAGGTCCTTGGGGAAAAATCTCTGAGACATCCCCCACCAAAGTGCCCAAGAGGCACTCAACGAACAAGTTGAACAGAATTTAGTTATCTATTCCACAATATGCACTTTGCAAATATTTACTGAGCACAAACAAAACAGGGGAAAAAAAATCTGCCCTGGTGGTGTTTGCATGTTAAGGGTACAATACAGACAATAAATTAAATAAGTGTTAGATGGAGAAGAATGATAAATTAAAAATAAAGCAAACAGGGATGGAGCAGTGGGAAAAGGGTTCAATTTTTTCTTGGGTGAACAGAAAAGTCCCCACAATGATACAGACAAGGATAAGGATGACTTGAAGGAAGTGACTGAACTGGCAATACTGATACTATGGGGAGAGTGGTCCAGATACTATGCAAATGAGGCAGTGAGCCTAGTACAGGCAGCCAAGAGGTCTGTCTGTATGGCTGGAGTGAAGGGACAGAACTCAGAGAAGAGGCTGGCTCTTGCAGGGCCCAGTAGGCTATTATGATGACGTTGGCCTTTATATTTAAAGATTGAAGTTACATTTTGAAAGAATCGCTTTAGCTACCACATGTAATTGGATTATGGGAATGAGAAGAACAAGAGTAGAAATGCCAATTAGGAAGCTATTACAAAAAAAGAAAAAAGGATGAGAGAAATGTTGTTCTACATACTTTTTAATCCCAGGGTTTCTCTGAATAGCATGCTTCCTGGCTCCACCAGCTTCATTCTATCTTTGAAACTTAGGTAGACTGCTTCTAGGGGTTACCCAGATGTTCAAATCAGAGCCAGAGATCATCATGTCTTTCCTAACCCGATTCTTAAACCAAAAAGAATCTATGAAGACACTTGAAAACGTTCATAGAAATTGGACTTAAATGATAATTATTTTGGTATAAAAATTTAAAACTGAAATCTTCAAATAGAGTCTTCAGAACATTCATAGGAATATGTATTATAATAAAAAAAATGATTCTTATTTTCTACACCAAAACCCTCATTTTTTAAATTTCATTTTCCCATGAGCATTCTAAAGTTCTTTGGTAGGAGAAACTCAGAAGGAAGAGCCCAAAGACTAGGATAAAAACTTTAAAACAATCTATAAGGGAATAGATAGATTGTAGTACAAGACAACACAAAAACAACATCACCGTGAATGGTGCCAAAGTGAGGACACAGTGTCCACTTGCCACATTCCGTCAGCACTGCTTGGAATTCCCAGACAAGGTAGCAAGAGCTTCTACTTTTAATTTTGCAGAGGATGACACTCAATCAGGGAACAATATTAGAACAAAAGTGAGCAATTGTTTGGGGATCCTGACAACTGAGTTACATCAATTGAAAGATTTAGCAAGGGGGAAGTCAGCTGTGAAAATCGTCAAAACCAAGGAAATTCCAGGCATGGCCTGTGAAAATATTTCAGGATTTAACAGAAACTTTTAGTTTCCCAGTAATTAAACCTGCTAAGAGATCTGCACATGCGCACATAATCATAAACCTGTTAGTACACACATCCTGTGAAAGGAAATGTCCTCCTTAACCCAACAAAGAACACAGAAAAGTCTGCTAGCTAAATTTTAGTAGTTGCTAACACTGGTTATCTCATGGGAAGGAGCAAAAAAAGAGAAATTTCTATTATCTACTCTATAAATTTCCATAGTGCTTCCTTTTATTTACAGAGAGCTTATAATTTTATTCAGTGGTACTATCAATTTTGTGGTATTCAAAAAGCAACGAAGACAACTAGAAAAGAAATCACCTAACCCTCTAACACTAAGGGGCTAACCACTCAAGGGAGCCTTGGGAAAATACTTCTGAAAAGTGGAGACATGTAAGAATGTGAATAACTGAACACTAGCTTATCCGTACTGTGTGCTTTATTTGATGTGTTGGGGTTTGAGGGATTTTTTTTATGTAAACAGAAACTACATCCTTTCATAAAGGGCAAACAAGTTCCTCTCCACCTGCCCTCCCACCACTCAAAAAAGAAAAACCCTGTAAGAAAAACTACCGAAAAACAATTCATTTTCTGGACAATATTAAGAAAAAGTGCAAGCAGCTAAGTGGTATCTTGTTGGCAATCCAAGTGGTCAGGTGGTTTCCTGCTGCCCTGTGAGTGGGGTCTTTCGCACACATCTCTGAGACATTTAGTTTGGGGCCTGCTTAAAGGGCTTAGGTCTATAAAAGGAAGTTTATACCGGGCCTGGCTTATTATTGTATTCTGCCATGGTGATTGTCAGAGTAACAGGAAGGACTCCACACTGTATTACATGGGGTGGCATTCACAGACAGAAAGGGACATATTGAAGGTGGAGCAGTTGTCTGAATTCCTTTTCCTTTTTAGCATTTTGCTGCCTGGACTGATGTTCTCTAAATACAACTTTGTTTCAAAGTATCTAATCACAGATTCCCCCAGTTCTGTTCTACTCTTACTTTTGACATATGCACATACAAATACTATCTGTTAACCGATTAAAATTACTAGATTTTTATTAAAAATAACAAGAAACTCCAGAAGTCACATTTTTAAAAGCCTTTAAAAGTGTCACTTACCACTGGATTTGATTTCTCGGACATAATTACTAGGAAACCAGCCCGTTCTTCCATTTAATGTGCCTTCCCACCAGCCTCCTTCTTCAACCCGAGTGACATAAATGATGTCCCCTTTACAGACTGACAGCTCATCTTCATTTGTCTGCTTAAAATTGAATCTTGCCTTTACTATCAACTGGTGACTTCCATTTTCTGTCATCTCCTAGAGAACCGAAAGCCACAACACATTAAGCACTCCTGTAGACGACATAGGGTTTAAACAATGATTTAGACATACAAAATGGGGTAACTAAGGAGATAACTCAAGACACAGCGAGGTATTGAATTTGTACCTTTGGAATCCATGAATGGGCCTCAGAGGGCAATAATAGCCCTAGAAACTAAATGCAAACTTTCACATTTGGGACAACCTGGACTTTGGAAGATGCCACAGCTTTCACTTCCCTCCACTCCCACCAATCATCTGAAACTGCTTACTTACAAGGATCAGGTAACAAAGCAGTGTGATGGATTACGCCACCAAACATACAAATATCATCCACATAATTATATAATCAAGATTAGGTACTAACTTGTTCTCATAAAATCTGTCTCCTATCTCCCAATTAATTAGCGAATTAAGAAGACCTTACATTGACTAAAACTCAGCCAAATGCACAGATATCCTATTGCTAGCTATCTGAGTGGAAAAGGTTTAACTTATCATGTCTGAATTGGGTTTAACTGTTGCAGGTTCATGGTTCCTTTGAAAACCTGATCAACACATTGGTCTTTTGCATACATGGGCTTCTGTACACTATTTGAAAGAATACATAGTACTCATCAACATCTCAAAGATATCTGTGACTTTAAATTTCAACCACTCTGAAGTGCTCTGGAAGTAATAGGTCACACCATGTCACAATAAGTGGTGGCTTTTCGCAGACTAAAGTTTTCACCAAAGTGCAGAGTAAGGGATATTTCCTCCTAAATAACAGCATCCAGTAAGACCAAATGCAAGGACAACTGGGAGATCTCAATATAGAAGCTCATCACAGGCTGATATTTAAAATTGAGTTTTGCTCGATAGGAATGCAAACAGAAAAACAAACATGTTAGTCACAGTGATTGCCAAACAGTCTTGAGTTTTCCTAATAAACCAAGAGGTAGGGAAAGAAGCAGTAAACTGCCATTAGGGATTAGACATAATGACTTGCCACTTGCATTAGTGCTCTCAGTTAAAGTGGCTCGCCCGGCTAATAAGGGACAGAACTGAATCTTCAACTCTGATTTTCTGACTTTAGGCTCCACAACATGCCCTTGAGTTGTTCCATGGGGCCATCCTGACTTGATGTTCTGTTTATAATTACTTTTCTCAGCAATGCCCCAAATAAATGGGATGGCAAACTCACACATACAGAGATGCAACCAGGACATCCAGCTAATTTTACAGATTTTCCAACAGGCTGGGAGAATTGCAAGCTATACTTACCGCAGCCTTTGACTGCCTCTGCAGCCCTGGAGCTGTGCTGGTAACCGCTCCCTGTGGGTTCGCCTGACAACTATTAGCAGCACTAAGAGAAGAGGAACGTCCACATGGTCTTTCTGATAGCTGATCTGTGAAAAGAGGAAAAGACACGGTCAAGGAACCACTCACGTCATAAAAACATCTACACTACTACATCATCTTTCATGGGACCTTAGCGAAAACATCCTGGCTATAATTCTGCTAGTAGTCTAAACATGCCATGGGAATTTCACTTCCCCCTCCCATTTTGGTAGACAACTTCTTTTTTCTTAACCTTACTGGCCATTGCTCTCCAGTAGAATGAAAAACAGCGACAGAACCACATTTTCTCTTAACCCATTTCCCTACCACTCTTCTCTCTTGAACCAGTTGCAACAGGCTGTCCTGTTATCGCAGGCAGAACTATATTGGGTACCAAACAGCTGTTTGTGGCTTCTTATTACTTTGAAATATTTTAAATTTCTCTCTTTGTTTTTTGGTCCATAACTCCGTCACTGTGTTCTTACTCACATGAAACAATATGTGTGACCTATATAATGTAAAATCTCCCCAGGGTGGGGAACAGTTGGATGGGGTGGGAAAGGAGAATAAGTGAAGAACGTGTGCCTGGGACAGATGCGATTTTGATTTTTTTTTTAATGGAACTCAGGAGGAAATATGATCAAGGGAGGAGCTGAGGTGGAAGTTTTCAGTATGCTGCGAGTATGCTAAAGGAGAGGAGCTGGCTTCTTGACAGATTCAAATGACAGTTCATTTCCCCTCCACTCATTTTTTAAAAGATATAAACTGCAAAAGTCTAAAAGCCCAAACATTCCCTAGGCGACAAGTGCAGTATCCAAGTAATTTCCTTGAAGCTGTGGGTTTTAACTTTCACCCCCTCGTATTTTTATAAATATCTATGGCAAGGGAAGAGACTATAAAACTTACTAGGAGAGTTTGGCAAAGGAACATATAATTTGTGTGGCATAATGTTAGAATTACACAATCTTCCTTGCCCAGAACTGGATAGTTGGCATGTATGTTAAATATAGTTACTTGAATTAGCTGTACTTTCTGCTATACGCCTTGCAACAACTCAAAAGCATTTTTTCCCAAATAGCAAAAGAACAACTTTGGAGAAGTATTTTTACATGTATTGCTATTATATACAGCTCTTTTGACTAAAACTGTAATTACTTGATAGCTTCCTAGATTCTCCATCCTACTTGGCACTTGGTTATATTGTCTGCTCTTGTTCTCTTTGAATCGTTTCACGTGGGGAAGCTGAGTGTCCCTAAATAGACAGTCATTTTCTCAAGGGCAGGGACCATCTCTTCCACGTCCTTTGTAGCACCTGGCAGCACTGGGCACACAGCCTACTAACACTACAACGGTATGAGCAGCAAGACCGTGTTTGTGCACAAGGCCTCTGCTGCCATGCAGCTGCGGGTCTGAATTCCAGCTCAGCCATTTACTTTCTGTTGGACAACTGTGGGCCTCACTCTCCTTGTCTGAAATAAGGACTGAAAAAGGTTTAATCTGACCACATGTGACTCTCAGGACAGCCTAGATCTAGGGCTATGATTGAACTATGATTGCTATCACCCAGCTGTAGGTTAGCTACTATATAAGGAATATCTTCTAAAGATGCATGGAAAGTGTGTGTTATAAAATGATCATTTAATTTTGTGCAGCAAAATAATTTGATCTTTTAATTCCATTTTGCATGACCTGTTACTTTCTAATATCACAAGAGTGAAGTGACACACTAAGTTAATCACCTTTTTCTTCACATTTAGTAGGATTTATATCATCTGTCCGGTGTGCCAAGTATTAAACATTTAGATAAACACACTTGTCACTCACTTTGAACCCCAGCTTTTACTTCCAAGGTCTGGTTTTCAAGGGGTTCCTTTGCATGGGCAAAATGTCTCTAAGCTGGTATAAAGAAGTGATGATTATATTTTCCTAAACTTTTTTAAAAAGAGAAGTATTTTTTTAATTTTTGTCTTATTATGCTCAAGGTTTGCAATAAAATAGTTTTTGGTTCTAACCATTCAGTGGAAGGCATTAAGATTTCATCTGTGGTCGTTATGCTTAAATTCTAAGCCAGGAAAAAATAAAACACTTGACCCTTGGTAAGGTTTATGGAGCAGAGGTTTGCGTCAGTTTAACAATCCGGGTCATACTTGGTTCCTGGGGTTAGCAGAAACACGTGAATCCAAACATGTCACCTGGAGCTCCTAAATCACAAGCCTTGCTTACCTTCTGTTGCTTTGTTGACAGCTAAAAGAGTACTCAGAACCTTCGGGAAATTGACCCCTGAATAAAGGTCATCAGGATCAAATACCTATGGGGAAGGGAAATGGAAGCCATGAGACACTGTCAGTATTCAGTTCAACAAGCTAAAGTATCTAAAGACCACTTCCTTCAGCTCTCAAGAGAAAAAAAAATGTAAAAGCCAAGATGGTACAATTGGGAGAAACAAGAGCAGCAGCTAATCTGCCTAATGCCATGCAGCAGGCCATCGGTGAGTCAGCGAAGCAGCAGTGGGAAATGACAGCCGAGCTGCAAAGTTGTGCCCACTAGGAAATGCACAGTGCACACTCAGACTCACTCGTCTGACCCGAACACATCAATGCTTCCAGCCCCATTACAGGAAATTCCCGTGCGAGGGTTATAATTAATGTCTGGAACCCACAGAAGGTCCTCAACAGCCCATAAGGAAGGAGGTGGAGCCTTGTTGACACACTTTCATCTTTAAGTTGTTCACCTTTCCTTCTGCTCCCCTTCCTCCGTGCTGTTGCCCACTGGATCCCAACAATTGGAGACTCCAGCTCCAGGTTGCCCAGACATTCTGCGCAGGTCTGCCTTTCCTCTCCCCATGTCTCAGTTCCAGTCTTTGTTGCTTGACCTTGTCCTTCTCCATTCATTTTTACTTGCTCACCTCTAAGGGTTCATCCTGGGATTAGGTGATTTATTTCTTTAGCATGTGGCCTCTGGCTTTCCTGATGCTACCTAACTCTCAGCAATAAATATTAAGTAAAGGGACAGGCATCTGACACAACAGTGGTATCTACAATTTCAGATGTCTACATTCCATATCACATTCTGTTATTTAATTGTGTCATGGCATTGTAGGTACAGGCAATGGTTTAAAAAAAAATCTAGTACCATATTATCAGTGTATATTTAACAGTTTCATTGGGAGTCCTCCTTTTATTTGAGACTAGAGATACATACTGAAATGTATCTTCACTTCCTGGTATGCTAGTTTCCATTATACAGTTCATCCATGGGAATATATGTAAATACATACTTCCCTGTATATCTATTTGTTTTGTATTTTGCATGAATGTTGCCTTATATCTGAGAGAACATATGATATGTGTTCTTTCTGAATCGGCTTATTTCACTGAGCATAATGGTCTCCGGTTGGGACCATTTTATTGAAAATGGTAGAATTCTTTTCTTTTTAATAGTTGAGTAATATTGCATGGAGTAGATGTACCATAGCTTCTTTATTCATTTCTCTTTCAACAGGTCTCTGGACTGTTTCCATGTCTTTTTCATTGTGGATTGTGCTGCTATAAATATAGGGATGTAGGTCACTTTCTCGTGTGCAGGTTTCACTTCCTTCACATACATTCCCAGAAGTGGGATAGTTGGGTAATATGGTAGATCACATCCCTTACCAAAGTGTTAGCTCAAGTCCTACTGCTCTGATTCTAATCCAGCTCCCTGATAATGCACATGGAAAAGCAGTGGAAGCTGGCCACTCATGTGAGAGACGTAGATAAAATTCCAAGCTCCTGGCATTGGCCTGGCCCAGACGCTGCCATTGTGGTGATTCGTAGAGTAAATCAGCAGGTGAAAGATCTCTCTCTCTCTCTCTCTCTTTCTCTCTCTCTCTCTCCTCCATCTCTACCTTTCAAATAAATAAGTCTTTAAATTTTTTTTCACAATACATAGGAAATACATGCTATGAAACTGCATGTATTTCAACATTATTTTTTACCCAAATAAATTTTTACTTTCAGTTCCATTTTTCACAACATTTGAAGCATCCTCAAACATAACGGTGGGTAACCAGATGCCCACTTTCTGGATGGAAATGGCCCTTCTAAAAATCTTTCATTCCAGGATAGCTAGAGAGTCTCTTGAAGAGAACAGATTGCATCATTTGTTTTCCCAAATGTGGTGATGATTGGTAATGGGCCTAAGATTTTGAAGGGTATGTCTTCCTATTAGAGACATTTGTTCCATTTTTAATATGCATGCTTTCTGGGAGCCACATCAAGACAAGTTTTTACCTCATTTTTCTACATATTGTTGAAGACCTAAGATCTGTTACCAGAATGAAAAGACATGATATGCACTTTTTTCAAGTTTGGGGGATTAACATAGTTTCACACAATTGGAAACCTAGATAAATGTGCCTATTCTAGTGTTTACAATTCAACCATTTAATCAATAAATGTTTGCATTAAAAGTTAAAGGTGACTGAAAAGCCTAATTGCACTTAAGAGACGCTAATACACAAAATTCAAAGTTTTCCAGGAATATGTTGACAGGAGTTCGGTTTTAATTTGTCAAAGCATGGGTGAACAAAAGACAAGAGACTAGAGAGAATATCTAGGATCCCAGGGTATTCTAAACTGACTGAATGCTCCTTAGAACTAATAAAATTACAGGAAGTATTAATGATAACTATGGCAAAGCAAAAAGCCCATACTCCCTAATGGAAGTGTCAATACGTGTGTGCATAATGGACATTCATATTAGGTGTGTGTGCAGAAGTAAACACTAACACAATAGTGTGTAAGAGTAAAAGCTGTGATTGGAAAGAAACTTTTCCTTTTGCTTTAGTTGTTCCTTACTCAGGTGAATGAACTTGCTACACACGGCAACACTGGCATTTTTCATTTGTACTAGTACTTGACCAAATTTGAAGACAAACGGATAAGAAAATGAAACGTGTATCAGCAAGTCATGGCACCTGCTTGAGACAAGCTTCCTGGATTGTATACATTTTATTTTTCAGAAAACTCCAACAGAGTCAAATTTATTGACAGACATTGCTGATCTTGATGCAAGTCTATTCCCTAGCACTAAAGACCACACAGAAAGAAGGTGAAAGTGGCCCACAGGGACGAGCAGCAAAGGTAATGCAGCAAGATTATGATTTCAGGGCAGTTGGAAGATCAGATGTAAGTACAAACACTTTCTATATGTATGTTACCCCTTCTCAGGATACAAATTGAGTGATATTGAAATTTCCACTAGAAATCCTTCTTCAATGACATCCATCTTTCCATGATATGTTTTACTTCCACTAAGATGCTATATGATATAAATATGAAATCAAAAGTAAAAAAAAAAACCAAATCCTTCTTCAATGCACTTGAGATTGATTCCCCAAGAAAATAGAAGCATTACTTGTAGCGAGTGAAACACCTTCAGTCATTATCACTCATTTATAGCTTGGTGGAAATGTGAAGTGTGAGACCACATTTACAGGTGATGATGTGAAGAAAGACTAACGGCACTGATGCCCAACTTGCAAAGAGCAACGGAAAATCTCCAAATGTGGAGCGGGTAACAAAAGAACATGAAAAAAAAAAAAACAATAAAAACCTGTGTTGTGTTACAGGTTGTTAAGCCACTGCTTGGATGCCCATATCCCATATCGTGCAGCCTGGGATCTAGCCTGGCTGCTCTGCTTCTCATCCTGCTTCCTGTCGATGCACCCAGAAGGTGGCAAAAGATGGCACATGCACTTCAATTCCTGTCACCCACATAGGAAATCAAAACAGAGTTATAGTTTGTCCTGGCCTACCCCTGTTTTTTTTTTTTTTTTTTGCAGGCATCTGAGGAGCGAACCAGGAGATGGAAAAGATGTGTGTGTGTGTGTGTGTGTGTGTGTGTGTGTGTGTGTGTGTGTGTGTGTGTGTATTGTGTCCCCCTCCTTCTCTTTTTCAGATAAATAAATAATTTTAAAAGCAGTAAAATAAATTACAGTAAGGGTCATCTGCTTAGGACTAACCACACTCCTTTCCATATTCACACTGGAGAACTAATTCTTTCTTTCTGCAAAGCATCTAAACTGTATAAAAGCTGATTTAAACTTGCACATACATGCTTCATGTAATGTTTTCAAATTTTTTGCCTAAAGGGCTGGTACTATGTCATAGTGGGCGAGCTTGGCGCGTGTAGCACTGGCATACTCCTGGTTGTTCCCCTTTTGTTCCAGTTCTCTACTAATACATGCAAGAAAGCATCGGAAGATGATCCAAGGCCCTGCACCCATGTGGAAGACCAGAATGAAGCTTCTGGCTCCTGAGTTTGGTCTGACTCAGTCGTGGCCATTGCAGCCATGTGGGAGGTGCACCAGTAGATGGAAGATATGCCTTTCTCTCTCTCTCTCGCTCCCTCCCTTCCACCCTCCCTGTCATTCTCTCTCTGTGTAACTGTGCTTTCCAAATAAAGTGCATCTTAAAAACTTTTTGCTAAGGGCCCAGGGGAGTAGCCTAGCGGCTAAAACCCTTGCCTTGCATGCACCGGGATCCCATATGGGTGTTTGTTGGTATCCTGGCAGCTCCACTTCCCATCCAGCTCCCTGCTTATGGCCTGAGAAAGCAGTTAACAACAGCCCAAAGCCTTGGGACCCTGTACCCGCATGGGAGAGCCAGAAGAGACTTCTGGCTCCTGGCTTCAGATCAGTTCAGCTCTGGCCTTTGCGGCCACTTGGGGAGTGAACCAGCAGATGGAAGAACTTTCTGTCTCTCCTTCTCTCTATAAATCTACCTTTCCAATGAAAAAAATCTCTAAATAAATATATATATATATTTATATATTATAATCATTATACGATTATTATAATATTATATATGTGTATATATGTATATATACATATATATATATATAGCTTAGCAATAATTCTACATAGTTCTGGGCTACTGTGTGTCATTTCAATACATGCAGACAAAGTGCACTGAGCCATTCAGGGCAAGCTGTATTTCTCCCCCCTCAGCATTACGATTGAAGCCTTGCGCTCCTCTCTTCTATTTATTCAAGTGGTCTTCACATAAAGGTTTCAACATGAAAGTCATATCATGCTAGTCATTATGATATCCATCTTTCAGTACTGTGTGCAAGGTTCACTAGCCTGTGGAGTGCCTTCAGTTTGTGAGCCAGTCCCAGAATAGCTGAATGATCTTTATACTTATTTTGGTCCAGAAATAATCTGGCTAGTTCCCGTTGGATCTGTGAAGGTCAGATGAACCTCGGGATTCCCTCTCTCCATTCATCATACCACTACTGTGACACAGAAGGGCGGGGGGGGGGGGG